TTTGAGCAGCTTCGCCGTTTGCTGACGAACATGACTGTGCACACCGTCGGCACCCACTATAATACTGCCTTCAATGACATTGCCTTTGTCGGTCCTCAGAGTGACTCCATTTTCGTGCTCAGTAAATGACTCCAAGCCCTCATGCTCATGGACTTTCGATTTCGAGGATTCATTGAGACCGTTGTATAGATTCTGGAGGTAGACCCTACGGTCTATAAAATACACAGGCCGTTTTTGGCTTTGATACGATCAGCTGACTTGCATTCGTTTTTTGCTCGCTCGCTATGAACCAAAGTTGCGACGAATGTGTACTTACACCTCCTGGAGACGAATTAATTCATCTGAAGAGCAAAATAGATTGCCCTCGTGATCCCAGTGCTCACGAACCCCGATCGGAATTCCAGCCTCATGAGTCGGTTTGTCTATGCCTAATTGTTCGTGAACCAGAATGGTGCAAGGAAGTAGCAGGATAGACTGTCCGAGTTGTGGTGCTACTTCTCTTTTCTCGAATACTTCGAAATCGATTCCAGCGCGCTCGAGTGCATTGGCTAGCGAGAGACCTGCTACTGAACCACCTGCAATGAGCACCTTAAATGGACGCTGCGCTTCTGTCATTTTGCTTAAATGAATGATCCTGTGGCTTGTCTCGAATTCTGGAATGGAAAGCAACAATAGACTTTTCGCTTTTGAGTTTGTCGTCTTTATCGCAATTCCACTTTTCCCCCCTGCTAGCTTCAGAATTATGAGGACATATGAAATATGGGGAATGATTTGACAACGCAGTCACGATTAACTTTTTTGGGTGAGTTTGTTACCGTGCTTTTCACTAAATGTTTGAGGAAATGCTGTTGTCTAGACGTTCAAAATGCGAATAGCTTCACATGTCCACTTCCGTTGATGATCATGTCTAATTTTCATCAGCCGGGCCTGAGGCTTTTCTTTTACCTCTAAACATCTGCACTTGTATAGGGGCATTCCCCTGACTAATGACGCACCATCAATAAATAGTGTGAAGACGGAAACAATAAATCTTTAACTGTGACATGACATGTGTTGACAATCACATTCTGGATATGATGATCAGGGGCTTTCGCGGTGCCAGGATTTTTTATCTATTGGCTGCAGATCTTGACCATTCTTGACAACATTTTTCCTCAGCAGTTACATCCGGCACGAATTGGCTGATGAGATAAAAAGATCTCCCTGTGGCAACGTGAAAAGTTGAAACGGCCTCAATTGTTTCTAGTGGGGTATACACCGGCCGGCTCTCTGCTCCTTCCTAAATCCCTGCTATAACGTCTTACATGATTATCTCCCTCGAGCGTGATTAAACTTACATGAGTCGTTGTATTCATTCGTTTGTATATCTCGGCTCGGCACTGCTTATTAAAGCTAGGATAATACGAAGCTAAGAGGTCAACGGGGGTGTCTAAAGACGCAAAATAACGTCTTTATTCGGACTTATTAATAGTAGCATACGAGCAGGATGACAGAATAGGCAGTTGAAGGAGCACGTTCAAATGAATAGTGTGAAGTTCTAGAGTTTTCGGATGAGCAGTTCCTATCTAGGACGCAGTGCACAGGCCAGATGGCCGTGTACCTAGCCCTGTTACATTGTGGTGGAGCAAGTTATCCATGCGGAATAACTTTTCGGCGCTGTCAAACTGTCACTCTTAACGCCGCTGCAGATCCATGAAATTTCAACTCCTTGCACAATGTGGGTGAGATGTTTACAATTAATAAGTGTAAATTCTGATTACTAAATAAACATAGCATACTGACTACAGGTAGCTAGAAATCCCCTGTGGTACCTCAAGCATTAGGATCCTTTAGACGTACCCATACCAGCCTCACTGGAATGGTACCTTCGTAGCATTATGAGCAAAGCGAAGGAGAGTCTCATCACGCAACAATCGCGGCCACGCTTGGTTTGACGCACTAACAAGCACCTCCATTGTTCCCTGAGGCGCATCCGCAGGAGATGGCAAGATCACCTGGAAGCCGGCACAGACACCACCAGCGGGGAATCGCAAAGATTTGATACGATCACCGAACGCAGGACCCCATTCAATGCTGTAAAAGTCAAAGTCGCTCCAGTTGCTGAATAGCACATTGCTACCAGGCATGTCGAGGAATGCCGTGCCAGCGATTCTATTCACGTCGTCCGCGCGCTCTACGTAGTGCGCCACTTCATCGTAGTATGTGCTTCCACACTTATTGACACCTTGTCGTACCAAACATGCGATATCAGCCAGCGGAGTATCTTTAGAAATCAATTGAGAAATTGGTAGAACTGCAGTGGTGAATCCGATGATATTACCCAGTGTATGTGGATGTATTGGCACGTGAACGCGGCGTCGTGCGTCCAAAGCGACCATTCCTATCGAGAGCTTACTGGGATCAAGGGCTGAATGATCTGGGTGCTCGGCGCTCTGAATGGATTTCCAGATCAGTGCAGATAAGACATCATTGGTGGAGACGAATTTTGGTAGTTGTTCTTGTGGAATCTTGTCCTTGAGACTAGATGATATCTTTGCTGGTGAGCACTCTTCTTTGAGCGCTCGGATGGCTTCTGGTGTAAATCGATACACGTGAGCATGGCTATCTCCTTTCGTTAGAGCCTCGGGGAGTCCAGGAGGAGTAAAAGGTAAATGAATAAATTCTGTGTGCTCCTCTGCAAAATTGGCGCACACGTTTTCTCCGGTGCTCTGCAAAATTTTGGCTCTGTCCGCAACTTGAATCTCAACTGGTTTCTCAATAGTCAACCCCTGTGCTCGGCGTAAATCTTCAGCAAAGAGCTCGGCCAATTTCCACATGGATAGTCCATCGGCATATGAATGGAAGCACAAGTGGTTGAGCAGTAATCCACCCTTGATCAAGTTGGCTTGCATCATTTGAGTTGCTAGGCGATCGACGCCAAATTGAGGCCATTCCCCAACTCGGCCACGCATGCACAATTTTTCATCGTCCATGGCTGCATTGGGAAATCCCTGATCCTTCAACTGACTAAATGAAGGTGCTGTGCTATCGTTACGGTGATCCTTGACTATGAAATCTTCAATCTCGCCATCGTGGTAAGGTTGTAGCTTTAGCTGCCCAGCGGGCTTCACATCGGGGTCTGCAGGCACGGCCTCAACACCGACCATTGGCGTTCGCTCTTTGAAACTACTCCATGCTGTTCGCAGCATTGATGAGATATTCTCAGCATCGTAGTCTGCTGCCAACTCGAGGCACATCATATTTCGGATCCATCCCTTGGGTCCTATAAGCTCAGACGCGAGAAGAGGCGGTGCTTTAGATGCTGCGTCCATAGCGAGTAATAATTGGTATGTAAGAGGTTGTTTTTTGAAGAGGATTTCTGAACAGGGACTTCGATAGACGATAGACGACGAGAAAAGAGGAAGAACGCGCTGTTATTTACGGAAGTTCCAGTGATAGCACTCGATTGTTTCTAATTAGTCTCTTATCACGGTATCTCCGATAATTCATATTACAACGTCTAGATCAACAATGCCGTACTGCAGATCACTCGGGATGTCAAACAGGCGCAGATTCCGCGCAACAACCTGTATTGTACACAAAAACTTTCCTATCAAACCCCTCCAACTCACTGAAATAAGGGCGCTTTAGTGTACCCGTCGATCCACCTCCCGACTTCGAGACGGATATGAATGATGAAGCCTATCCACATCTAATTTCTTCATACCCTTCATTGGGATAGTACCAAGACGAACTATCGGCGCACTAAATCTCTTGAGCATCCTAATTGGGATGCTAACCGGCCCCCACAACTTGCTTGAGACATGGTAAATGTCATTGGTGATGGAATAGACTGTGGACAATACCAAATGGGAGCTATTGCCCGATTGATCATCTATGAGCCAGTGGCGGAATGAGAATAGGGTTTTCCGCCACGTTCCCTTTCATGAACAGAAATTGGGGATATAGTAGAGATACTCCATAATCGAATATAGGTCAAGCAAATAAAATTGGATAAGGTTTTATGTAGCAAAGATTGTCCAGGGGTACACAAGCACGGATCGACTTCCTACCTGCATTCTGACAGCTGATGCAGGATCTCGAGAGAATTCAAGAAATTGCTCCTTTGTAGGGAATAGTGGGAAACTCAAATCCATCTTTTTCAGCGGATAGTATCGCGATTGCTGGGATGACTGATAGGGTCGACCTGTGTTTGTGTTGACAAATTCATATTTGGTGATTATTACTTCTTGTGTTAACCTTGGAAAGTCTAAAAGGAGGGAAGTGGGGAGCTCTGTTGGAGAAAGAGAAAACTCCGTGACCAGACTAGTTCCAATGTGGGATAGTCTAACGGTTAACCCATAATATTCTCACTGCCCCGTAGTTTCACCGCCAGTCGCTTATGGTTATGTTGCATAATATTTTAAGGGTCAACATAAATAGCAACACAAATATCAATATAAAAAATTGTCAAACATAAAACATATCTCGAGCATATCTTACCAAGAAACGAATCGACCTAGCTGCCCAAGATCACTGCAGGTATCATGGATTAATCGTGAAACTATCGTTGGCGGGTACGCATCGCACATTGCGGATTTTTCGCGCACCACCCTACCCTGGCTCGATTGAGTAAATTGGGGCAAAGCCAAGGGAAGAGGCCATTCAGAAGAAGACGCTCACTGTCTTGTGGGCCCAATCCTTCTAATGATCTCTGATCAAGGGTGGGAGATTGCATCAACAGCTGGTAGAAGTTTGAGACGTTGTCAGCACAAGAACTGCCGATGGCAATCCTGTAAAAATCGCATCTTCTCAAAATACAAATCCCTACATATCAGGTATGCCCAGAGGTGAGAATTTTCACCACGAGTCTCCAGGAAATGATCAGCGGGACCTTCACCTGCATATAACCATCGCAGGAAGTCCGGTCAAATGGGACCGTCAACTTTTATGTTGAAATCGCTTTATGGGGGAAAATTGACTTTTACATTAATTGTTGGTAAAGATCAATTTGTATTACTATGTCGGGAGTTGATCCCTCCATCGAACTCGTTTTCGGGCCGCCTGTTGCTGGTGTTGATTTAAATGAAAGTATAACGGCGGCATATGACATCGTGTCTTGTGTGGTGCTCGGAATAGCAGCTGCAGCAGTATGCTTGCGTTTTTATGTCCGAACTATGCGTGGAGCAAATAGTTTGGCTATCGATGACTGGTTTGTTGTCTTAGGACTTGTAAGTCCAGCTCTTTCTCTGATCGCGATGACTTCCTTCTGCATCTTTTGCGATAGCTCCTATACCCCGGACAAGAAAATGAATACACAGTTTCTAACGTAAGGCTTTGATAGATCTGTACTTGTGCCCTCGTGGCTACAACACTTATCGGTTGGTCTCCCAAACTCAGTAGCGACACTTTAGCTTTACCTGAGAATTTAGACTGACGTTTTCTACTCGAAAAGCTGGAGCATATGGATCGGGTACACATGTGTGGTCGACGACATTGCCGCGGCTCGTGGTGTTGTTGAAGGTATGTTTTAACGATGCGACACTTCGCGTTAAGTCTTGATCATCAAGTGTTGTGTTCCTCATTCTAACGCTGATACATAGGTTGTATTTGCCGAGCCCTGGGTCTACGCTGCATCCGTAACATCAACTAAGATCAGCATTTTGCTCCTCTACCGGCGATTGTTCTACACAGGCGAAGGCGACATGCTAGTTATTAACCGCATCTTTACCATAATGTACTGGGTTGCCACAACCTTCACCTGCGCCTACCCTATTATTATGTGGATCGTAATGGCAGCAGCCTGTCGGCCATTGAACTTCTTCTGGATGCAATACGCCGGCGCGACAGAAGGAAAGTGCATTAATACTTTGATGTTCTTCCTGGTCTTTGGAATTGTTAACATGGTCAATGATGTTATCATCTTGATTGTCCCGATTCCTCGAATTTTAAAACTCCACATGAACAAACGCAAGAAGTTTTCCGTCGCGGGTATAATGTTGCTTGGTAGCTTGTAAGTACCTACTCTCCAGCATTTCTCCGCCCCTGCTAACCCGTCTAGTGTCTGTGTCGCCAGTATAGTACGCATCTACTACCTAACGCTCCTGACCACCGCAGTCGACATAACATTCATCCTTGGCCCCGCTTTCGGGTGGTCTAGTCTAGAGCCCTCAGTCGCAATCATCGGCGCCTGTCTACCAACATATGCGCCTCTCTTCCGCGGTATTCGCAACAAGGGCTCGAATACCGGGACCAGTCAAAAGGGCTCGCACCATATAAATTTGAGCCAGACGCCAAATTTTCTCAAGCAGCAGTCGCACTTTCGCATTGAGGAATCAGACGAAGTCGAGCTGACAAGCAAGAAAAGCTATTTCCAGAGCACGGGAGGAAGTCGTGATGGTGAGGGGAGTATAGAGAGTGAGGACGGGGCGAGGTCATCAAGAGATGCGAGGGGAATCACCGTCACATCGCAAGTCCAGGTGGTGAGGGATGTGGCGAGCGTAGTATGAATTTGTTAATAGGATTGGGTTCCCTTAAAACGTTATAATATAATATGCCTTTCTTCTCAAAAATTGAAATGTAATGATGTGCAGCTTGGTATTTTCCCCATTGACCGGGTTGTAAAAATGCACAAGCAATGGTCACGTGGAAACACACGAGGGCCTAAACTCTTACTATCCAAACACTATGGTTTCTGCCAAGATATTGGAGTTCTGCTCTTAAGCAGGTCTGAATTGGAACGATGAACAATGAACTTTTGATATTGTAATCCAAGATGAGTGATATATAAAGAATTAATACCCTAATTTAATGTGAGTATACTGGAGGAGAGGGCGCAACCGCACAGGCAATTAGCTCTAGAACAGGGTGGGGGAGCAAATTAACCTCGGTGCTTGAGCGACCACGGAGATTTCTAATCTATTGCTATCTTATCGTCATTGTGAACCTCACAGCTAAAATACCTCCAATTTCTTCGGTTTGCTTCACTATCATTCAATTGCTACACGATGTCGATACCTTCATTCTCCGTGAGTCTAATTTTACTCTTAGCCCTCGGGTCTTGGATAATTATACAGTACTAACGCGTTGCTCAAGCGACTTGTCCGCTTCCTAGCCAAGAACGGCCGCACATACTATGGAGATGCCATCCTACCCAAAGGAGTCTCAGACATCGCGAAAGCTACTCAGGCCAAAGTGATTACGGGCGAAATATTCGGGAAGCATGAGGTCACAGATCAAGTACAGGATATTCGGCTCTTACTTGCACCTTTAGCAAATGAAGATGTTAAGACTGTGAGGTGTTTGGGGTTGAACTATGAGCAGCACGCTAAGGAGGTAGGTAGTTTTGGCTATGAATATTGGGGAATGATTGAGATAGGATTTTTGTGCTAAATTGGGTGGTTGCAGTCAAATATGCCAATTCCGAAATTCCCAATTCTGTTTGTAGGTTCATTATCTTTATCACCCTTCATCCTAGATCTCGTTGGCGATTGACATTTAAAAGTACAAACCCATCACATCTCTTTCCGGCCCTACCGATCCCATTCCCATTCATCCAATGGCTCAAGAAGGCGCAGGTCTTGACTACGAATGCGAACTTGTTGCTGTTATTGGGAAGTCCTGCTCCGATGTCCCAGAATCCAAAGCTTTAGATTATGTTCTCGGTTATGCCGTAGGTGACGATGTATCGCATCGGGAATGGCAAATTCAACGTGGAGGTGGTCAATGGGCGCTCGGAAAGGGATTCGATGGATGGGCCCCTTACGGTCCGGGCATTGTCTCCAGTCAATTGATCAAAGATCCGCAAAACCTTACGATCTTTACAAAATTGAATGGGAAGACAGTACAAGAAAGTAGTACGAAGGATATGATTTTCAGTGTGGCCAAAACCATTGCCTTTTTGAGTCAGGGAACTACATTGCTACCCGGTGATTTGATTTTTACTGGAACGTGAGTTTTTTCTGCATTGTGCTTCATTTCTATGCTTTGATTGTGAGGGAAAATGATGCTGATAAATGCTTAGTCCACAAGGTGTAGGAATGGGAAGAAACCCACAGGTATGGTTGAAGGATGGTGATGTGGTTGAAGTTGGTCTAGAAGGTGTAGGCAGTTGCATCAACAAGGTTGAGTTTACCCAGACCAAAGAGAAGGCGAAGTTATAGATTCTTCAAACATGGAGAACTTCGGCGTAATGTGATTTAATATCAACTGAATATCTACATTTCGAGAACCCTTGTGTTTTCCACTGTGCCACTTTCCTGTCGCCGAAAATTCCTATCTTTGGTCGACAAGTATAAGTCGTGTTTTTCGGGCCTGACTGACTGAATCATACTCGATTTCATTTCATCATATAGAGGTAACGAAGTCGGTAGGTTCTGATCTAGGAGCCCTTTGCAACTTGGTGAATATCTGTCCCAATCTGTGAGTTTGTATCAACTCTGGCGGGAAATTTGGAATCTATAAATCTTCTATCATAGAAACTTTATTTTCAAGTTCTCTGTCGATATTTGTGATTACATCAAATTACACATCCAACAGGTCGAATCTTCAGCGGTTGTCGAAGTATCGGGAAGAAAACTGGAACATTGTTGACCCTCCATGTACTTCTGCATCCTGTTATGATTCAACGGAAGCCAAAAACTGAGAGATGCAAGAAGATATTTCGGTCTCCAAGATATTATCTAGTAATTGGTGGCTCTATGTCGTCCAGCACAAGAACTCTAGACTGTGTTGGAACGAATAAATGATTTTTCATATCATTGCTCTTCGGCTCATTCATCTAGAGTAACCAATATTCGGACTACCGGACGGAATTTAAACACTCAATAACTGAGACTGCCTCATCCAATACTCAAAATTAAATCAATACCTCAAACCATCCACACCTTTAGGTTAAATTCAGAAGTGTAGATTCTTTAATCCACAGCTTGCTGTTGAAATCCCGGTACTCATCTCATCTCATCGAATAGCTTAACGTCCACAACCTCAGCAAACAATCATGTTCCAAGTCTCGCAATCCATCCACAATTCCGAGCCATCAAACAAATGTTCCACGGTGCTTCCAGGGTCATCTCAACCTCACAGTACAGCTGGATGCACTCCGAGAATAAGGCAAAGACTAGAAAAGCTATTCATTTCTCCTTTGCGAAGTTTCCACTGGCTACAATCTAGTCTACGGCGATTGAATGACAAGTGAAACATATTATCGCAATATTTGGACTTCCAGAGCTCCATTTTATCATGTAGTGATGGTCAATTTGCTTGTTGCAAGATACAATGCAGCCTCTACCCATGGAGTTTCGCGCGTGCGATCTGATCCCACTAGGGATGTCGCCTTCAAAGGTAGCGAATTCTGGAATGATGGGGAGTGAAGCTTCTATGAATACCAGCTGCAGGAAAATCATGACATAGTATCTAACGAATTCAATAGGTTCCAAGTGTTTACCCATTCTTTCCAGCACATTCGGAACCACTGCTTCGGATAGATACAATGGGCTCCTTCCACCCGGATGCTTGAAGCACTTCTAAATCTCCAATGTCGGAGAACAGAAAGGACAAAATCCCTACTAGAGGTGCAACATCCCATCAACAGCAGCGGCGCATGATTATTATTAAATTTCACTCTTTTCTCTAGGCGACGAATGGAAGATACATTGCCAAAGTCTCAACTTCCTTCCATGGCATTCGCAGGTTCGTAACTCAACACATCGAAGTTGCCTAGGTGAGCAATGGCACCGGCTATCTCAAACGCGAATATAGCATGGAATATGGTATCACCACAGAACAATCAAGTCAATATCTCTTACCGTCCGTGTCGAAGAGACAACTTCATGTGCTCCCAGCACTTTGTGAATTGACAATTTGACAATACATTCACCTACTAGCTCGGCTATTCCCACAGCCTACTCTTTGGCGAGAAGCGCAGAGGTGATCAAAAGAACTAGAAGTGAAGAATCCTCTCAAAAAGGAGTATTGGGATATCTTCCCTGCTATTCGAAACAGTGATGGAGCTATCTTATTATTAATGATGATGGGTATTCTACTGGTTGCCTGTTTTGTATAGATAGGTGCCTCGCTATACGGAGCTCCATGACTCGCGAAAATGTTATATAGAAGATGATGGTACTATAATGCAAAGTCCATGCTGATCTTTGAGTTCGGAATGGAGGTTCCAATTCTGTCTCATGTGAGATACTGTTTACTTATCATTCATGTGCATAATTGATATCTATCTTCGTAGTTTCAGTATACTTGAGTTCAATGACCTTTAGGTACTCATTAACTTATAGGATGCGTCCTATCGCGAAACTCCTAGTTTGTAGTACAGTATGAATATGGCAATGTACATCCGTCGTTAGATGAACGAAATCTCTGGCCGACGTGAACTTTTGTCCACTAGAGGCAATCGATACCATTGCCAGCATATTCACCCTTTTGAACGTGAGCAGAATGACTAGGTGATTAATATTGGGTCTAGACATCCGTCACTTCCGTCCCATTTGAGAATTGGGATGTCTTTATCAACCAGTATGAATTCAGACATTGACTACCTATGAATACCTACTCCAATGCAAAGAGTTCTGCAACGAGTGGAAGATTTCCTGCTGCTTTCAGCTCGCCTAAAATGCAAAAATTGTACATGTAAACTGGAGCGAATAGCTCTCGTCAGGATACCCATCTTTGGTTCCGCCGAGTTTCATCGCACCTGCAGTCTAACCAATACACTTCTCCTCTACTCGCTAGTACTTTCTTTCCCTACTGTATCCAGGCACACAGAGGGAGTAAACGTCACCATTAATTCCACCAATTCCACCAATTACGCAATAATCACAAACCCATCATACCAATGACCGAAACATGGAAAACTAACAACCTGACACTGAAATCACGTAACACAAAACCCACTCCGTTCCCGCAAGCCCTTCACACACATACACTCTACAAACCAATCGCAAAGAAACAACAATGACCACACCGCCGGAAACATACATCCATCCTGCATATATGCATCCTATCTCATCACATCTCATCCAAACCAAGCATGCAATCGCCGAACAATCTTGCAGCCATCCAAACATCTCCACAAGTTCAGCTGCGTTGAGATGCGGCTCGGAAATTTCAAGGAACCGTTCAGATCTGACAAGGGTTCATTTCGATCTCAAGTTTATCAAGACCCCCACTCCACCCCTACCCCACCCCAAGCCCTACCTAGTAAGCCCTAGGCCCGAATACGAAAATATGCAAGATGCAAAAAAGGAATTAATCGCGATTCGCGATTTGCGCCCGATGATATGCTCAAACCCAACAGAATGGATAATACATTACACAGCGTTGCAGGTAAAAAAAAAAGCAAAAGTATTCTACTCTCGGCCAATTGTCCTTATCTTGCATGGATCGCTCAACTTTCTCCCAAAATGACAGAAGACCGGAGAAATCAGCTTGCCGTTTCCAGATTGTAATATCGTATGTTTTCTTTTTGGAGATTTGTATTCCCAAAAAGGAAAAGAAAAAGCAAGGTACGTCAGACCGGCCCTGATCTCGTAGATTAGATCGATCTAAACGGCGCGGAGAAATCTTGCATAGATATTGCTTACTAGGCACTGCATGCGTGTCAGAATGCGGCTTTGCTTTTTGGTGAGATGTGATAGCGAGGTATGGGGCTGGCTGGAGATGCCCAACCAATTCTCGCACATTGGGGATTGGGAGACAGATTCGTCATTGAAATCATGGAGTATGAATAGTTGAAATGAGAGTGAGGATAAATTAGATGGGTATGAGTAGTTATGGTGAGAGTGAAGATATTAAATCCATACATGCAAGATACATGGAATAAGATGTTGGGAGGTTCATGGGGTTGAGTGGGATGAGACGAACAGAAAGTTATCATTAGGTCATGTATAGGATACTATCTTCTACTAGACCAGGGAAAACCTATCATATCAATCGATTGGTAAACCATTCTGATACGGGTGAGCACTTGTTCTGAATAATGACTCTTCGCATTAAAGTAATGAAAATCAAACCATGCATTCAACTCCAATCCCAGCCGTTTGTATACACATGTTTTTGAGGTATTGTTGCCCGACTATAGTACACCGTAAACTCCAAACATCTAGAATGAGCAACGCATCATTTTCTTACAATCTGAATCTGTAGCTTAGTATCATGCAACTATCCATGACTAGTAGAAGCCATTATACGATATCGTACATCGTCATAGCTCCTCTCTCCCCATGTCATCCTCCGTTTCCGTGAGGTTGTAATGTGGTCTTCTCCAATCCAACGGATCTCCTCCTGGCAAACAAACTCCCAGCCTCCAAAAGTAATCTCTGTGTGCGAAGAATAGCTGCCAGAGTTTGTATCTCGTTGGAATGGGAAGCTTGGGCCATCGCTTTTGAATTCTCTCCATTTCTCCATCTGCCCCTGCTTTGTCACCAGCCTCTCCTGTGTCCCATTTTACATTCCGTATTTCATTCAGAAAGTCCACAGGAATTATGGAGGATATGTCTTCCCCTTGAAACCACAAGCCATCCCCATCACTCCCCGTAATACAGTCACTATCCTCGTCACCGTAACAAAGATGAATATCTCGAGCTTCAGGTTGCAAGTTCCCTTTCTCTATGTATATTTCGCCAGCGTGGCTTCTATATCCCCATTCTTTCAAAGGGAGAAGGGGCACCGGATCTCCTACATGTGTCACTCTTCTATACCTCCTGTCCATGCCGTTGTGATCTCTTTTATCCAGTCCAAATACTCCATCAATGAAGTCAATCAGGCCATTGTTCCCAATCATCGGCTCTCCAAAAGTCGTAATTATTGTTCTCCACCCACTCCCTTCGAGTTCCAGTGCAGCAAGAGCGGCAATTGCCCCACCAAGTGAATGCCCTACCAAATGCAGCTCGTATTCTGGGTATTTTTGTCTCAGCACGTTGAGATGAGGCAGGATATATTGGCGAGTATTGATCCATGAAGTATAGAAGCCTGTGTGAACCGTGCAATTTGTACATTTTCTAATTGTTCCTCCCAACTTTTGATTTGATGTCGTCGATCCCAACGTGTGTTTCCACCTGAAAGGCCAAGATCGAACAATATGGTCGAGGAAACGTTGCGCAGTATACTTTTCGGAAGTCTCAGAAGAGGTATCCTGAGTTTCAGGCTCATC